AAGAAAGAGGGACGTAGCCAGGATTTTCACGGGGCGGGTTTCTTTTCTTTTTTTTTTTTTTTCTTTTTCTTTTTTTGGAGAGAACTGGACGGGTTTCTGAACAGAGGAACAGCTCGGCCTTCTTTGCCTGCAGTGCTAGAAGTGGGTGGAAGGCTGGAGGGCAACTGCCTCCGTCCCAGGCTGACAGCGGGTGGGCAGGTTGCAGAGGCGGCTCAGCCTGTGGCGTTCCCAAGCTGTGCAGGCAATGCCAAGGCTGGGAGGATGTTGCCTAGGCCCTTCCTTGTATGGAGGGGGAAGCGGACTCGGAGGAGGACCCAAGCCCAGGGGACCCTGTGAGTCACCATGACATGACCTCTGGCTCAAACGTCTGGCCTCTGAGGTGATTTGGGGAACTTTGTATTTCTCCGTTTTCATTTATGCAGAAATTTCAAGTCTTCTTACGTGGTCTCTCTGACCTGGGAAATGTGCAATCTAATAATGGTAGACGTAATAATGGACCACTCAGTGGCGTGGTGGTTTGGGCAGCTGGATCCCACATAGCTGACAATGCAGCTCAAGTCCTGAGTCACTATGAGAAACATGCCGGGCACATGTGCACATGTGCCCAAAATCCCTAAAGGAGGGAGAAATGGAGGAGAAGGGATCATGCATACCATGGCCATCCTCCCAGGGGGGTGATTTCTCACATTCTCTCCCTCTCTCTCTTTCTCTCTCTCTCAAGCATACAAGTCCTATAGCAAATTTTAAAAATAAGGGCTAGCAGGTGGTATAGTGGTTAAGATGCTGGACTCCCACATGGCTGACCATAGTTCGAGTCCCAGAGCCGGAGGCTTGAAACTCACACCAGGCACATGTGTGTACATGACCAAAATCCCAAGAGGAGAATGGAAGAGAAGGGATTGTGGAATGTCCTCCCCCCAAGGGGTGATTTCTCACTTTCTCTCTCTCTGGCTCGCTCTGGCTCTTCAGAAAGCTTACATGCTCTATAGCAAAAAAGCTCGCAAAAAAAAATAATAAAATGACGATGATGTTATAATCATTGAGTGCTGAAGACGAGCCAGGCACTTGCTAAGTGCTTTAAGTGCGGTATCTCCTCTCCTTTCCTCTTCCCTCCTCAACGCAGATCCCATAGTCACCTTTTTTTCCTTTAGAGAGATTTTTGCTGTAGGGTGTGTGCACTCGCCAGAGAGACAGAAAGTGATAGTCACTCCCACGGGCGGGAGCCACTCTGCAATCCCTTTTCCCTTGGAATTTTGGGCACACACACACACACACACACACGCGCGCGCGTGCATGCACGCCTGGTGTGAATTTTAAGCTACTGGGTCTGGGACTCAAACTGCGGTGGGGGTGTAGCAGTATAACCATTTCACCGTCTGCTGGTCTCATAATTACCCCTTTTCTGAGTGCCCCCTATTTGCACATTTTCACTGTTCATCTCCCGCTACTTTCAGCCACCCTGAAAGCTGACTTAGAGAAGAGGAAATTGTGGCTCAAATTAAA